TCCCTGGAATCCCATAGCAGAATACTACCCGTGACCTCCGAAACAGAAGTATCAAATAGCCAAGTCCTGCCTGAGCACTTGACCTGAAAAATCGTGGAGTCTAAAAAAACTGGTTGTTTTAAGCCACTGTTTTGGGATAGCCTGTGACACAGCAACAGATAACCAGAACAACAGCTACATTAAATTCACAAAGAGGAAAAACTAAGAAGGTGGCTTACCAGAAATAAAAAATGGGCACACTTGTTTAATATTAAACATAATAGATATTACAAATACTAAATCCCCCTGAAAATTAACTGTACTAGCTAGCTCCTATTCTTTCCTTTGTAAGTATTATTTTTTTTCTTTACAGAGCAAGAAAAAAAGCTCAATATATTTGTGATCTGATCTAAATTAACTAATAAAACATGATAGTACTATGGGGATATTACATTTATACTAATTATTAACATAAAGAATTCTGATATTGAGTGAAGTTTAAACTAAAGATTTGCCAAATTCCATACTGACTACATTTGTGAACGTTTACAATGAACAAGATAATTTTTTTGATTCTCAATGAAGAATATATTCAAAGTAAATGAGTCTTCCCCTCTAGTTAGTACTGAAAAAGAATTTCCTAAATGGGATTAAATTTTATGCTTTTCCTCCTTAAACTAGACATATCTTTCCATTTTTCTATTAAAACCAACTTTGCAGATAGGGCAGCTAGGATCTGGGACTTGAATTTACTGTTGGAGTGTTCTAAAAAGAAAACTTCCTCCTCTGAGAGCTTAATCCTCTCTTACAGTCAGACCCAGCAGTTTCACTCATGGAAAGAAAGAATATAGGAATGGAAGCAGGTGCAGAGGGGTGAGAGGGGATGAAGAAGCCCATTCCAGCCACTTCCTGTGGAAACTGGCAAAAAGAACTTGAATAAGCATCCTGAACAGAATCAAATGCCCTTAACCTACACCACAAAAGCTCAGTTCTCTTTTAATTAGTTCCTACACTTAGACACTTTTGTCTCAAATTATGACAAAGTTTTTTTTTTGGATCCCAGCTGAATTTGTTGCAGCCACCTAATTCAAAGGCAAGGAAATGTACCAAACAAGTGAAAACTAAGAGCACAGTCAACAGAAAAACTGCCTCATTAATAAATTTCTCCACTCTTACATTTTCAACTTAGGAGAAATAATGTTGTCCAGTTACCAGAGCAGTGAGAAATTACAAGGCCAAGACACACCAAAAAATCACATTATTTAGGTCAAGAAGAAAATGATTAAAAGGGATGGAATGCTGGTGATAATATTGAATACCTTTCATTGCTAGTTTGAGGCCTTTCTGTCTGCTTAAGACAGGAGCACTATTGAGCAAATCAAATTTAAGGAAAATATGCTGACAGCTCATCAATTGATTTTCAATGAAAATGCTAAAAAAATTAATAAAGAAGTTAAGCTGCTGAAATACAGTTTCACCAATTAGCTTAATGTCAGAGAATTCTAATTAGGCGTCTTGAGATTGCTATTTAGTGTTTAAGCCTTCAGAGTGCCAAATTCTCCTTTTCACACAAACTGGTTGCAAAATTAAAGACATTAGGCAGCCTTAATTACATTATCAGAACAGCTGGGATTAGGCAATCTCTGAAGTCAAGACGGCATTCTTTTGTCACAGGGTGGAAATCCCTGGCTTTCCAGGGTGCCGGATTTTGGTGCCATTCCATATCTCACCCATACAAAGCAAGCTGCATTAGAAACAAAAAAATTTGCAGACAAAGAATAGAGTAATGTGCAGCAAATAATGAACACATTACCGAAAAAGAAAAGGTAGGTGAAAAGATTAAGCCTGAAATCGGTAGGTTTTGCTAACACCTCTACTGGCGGCTGGCCTGCCAACCCTCTGGTGGCAATAAGACTGAGGAAAAGCTCTGTGAACCGGCTGGGCCAGTGGAGACAACTCTGTTATCTAAAGCTGAAGCACATTTATACTCCCTCATCCCATGGGGTGTGAAATTAGCAGCTCTTGTTTTTACACATTTTTGCCAACACAATGCCTTTTATGTCTTTACATTGTTTATAAAGCTATGTTTTCTTGCACAAGGGAACCCTCTTCTTAATTCTAATTTCTTAAGCAACAGGATAGTCTCCTTTCCCCCTCACCCTACTCCATTCCTTATTCCTCTAGACAATCAACTTCTTTTTCATAGACTCAACAGCATGACTTTTTTTTCCAATTAAAAAAGTTAAAAATTGGCATTGGTAGTAGGATACCACCACCATAAACCCCAGCACTATGGTTAATAAGAATGTGATCAAAAGCAGACCTGTCAATCATCTGCTCTTACCAAACAGTTTCCCTAGAGTCCAGTAGACACTAATTCGTCCCCAAACCAAAACTTGCTATAACTTCTTTTTGAGGGATTGAAACCACAGGCACTTTACCACTGAGCTACATTACTCCAGACTTCTTTATTTTTCATTTTGGGACAGGACCTTGCTAAACTGCTGAAGCTGGCCTTAGCTAGGATGACAGGTATGTGCCACTACACCCGGCTACAAAACTTGCTATAACTTCTGAATTCTAATTCTTAATTTTAATTGTGGTAGTGTCCGCTGTTACCCCAGCTGCCACCACCTCTCATCTGGAATACTGCCACCACCTTCTAGCGTATCCACTCTTGTCTTGTTTGTCTCTAAATCAGATCTTTTAAGCTAAAATTCAATCATATCAGTCCCCTGATTAAACCCCACGGCCCGCCATTTTCTACTCCAAGTAAAACTAAATCCACATCCCCTTCCATGGCCTACAGGGCTCTAGATAATCCAGTCTCTGTCTATGTCTCCAATATTATCTCACACCTCACCTCACTCTCCCCAACCACGTTGACCCTTTTCAGTTTCTTTGGTCCCTAAACTCATTTCTGCCTTGGGAGATGTGCACCTGCTTGTGTCTCTTGACGGAATTTAATTCCCCAGGTTGCATGAGGTTGGGTTTTCATCATTCAAGTTTCTGCTTGAACATTTGAAGGCTTGCTAAAAATATATCATTTTTTCCAGAGGACCTTCCCTGATTATACTGACAAAAGCAATGCTTTTCCTCACCATCAACACTCAAACACTTTATCAAGATACGATCCAAAATAACAAACATAACAAGAAATAGAAAAACATGATCCATACTCAAGAGGAAAGCAAATCAAAAGACTGACATCAAAATGATAGAATTAGCATACTAGGATTTTAAAGCAGACATTAAAAAAGTCAAGGATATAAATAAAGGTATGGTTGTCATGTATGAAAAAAGAAGACATTTCACTAGAGAAACAAGCTTTGAAAAATATATTCAAATGAAATTTCTAGAATTGAAAAATAGACCAAAAAATTAGCTGGATATATATAACAATATATGACATAAAAGAAAGCAAGTAAACTTGACAATAGATCAAGAGAAATCACCCAATTTGAACAGAAAAAAATTAATTAATAGAACATCTACATCAAAAGTTCTAATAATTAGAGCCAGGAGGAAAGGAAAACAGAACAAAACCAAAAAAAAAAAAAAAAAAAAAAGATATTTGAATAAAGCCCACAAATTTGATTAAAAAAATATTTACTACACAAGATAACAACAGAGGCAGTCATACCAAGGTACTTTAAAAAACCAAGGAAAAAGAAAACATGTCCATAACAGGTGGGTCTCTATTCTAGATCTTTAATTTAATGGTAATTTGTGATTCAAATGCTGAGATATAAAGTTTCAAAGATTATCAGATACTTGCTACCCAGTAAAATGGATATACACTCGCAAAATGAGATGGCATTTATGAGTTAGGGTTTAAAATGCGATTACAGACATTCTCACTAACCTACTTTCCTATCATGTTTCCAAAAAGAGATAAAGGGGGGTTCACTTGTTTATTCTGTGTCCCACTAAAATATAAGGACTAAGAGTAAAGGGATCTTTTTCTGTCTTACTCTTATAACCAGTACATAGGAGTATGCCTAGATCATAATAGTTGTTTAATACATATTTGTTAATTGAATACATGATATTGAAGTCATATTTCACTTCAAACATTACAGGGAATCAACATATTTAAAGAATTAACGTTGATTTTTCATAAGGAAATTCTTAAGCTGAAAATAAAGCAATCCTGTATGAAAAGTTTATATTTCAAACATGTGCAACCTATATTCCATTCAAATGTCTGTTTCTCCTACTTAAAATGAATACCAAACTAATTAAAAAAAATTATATGTATATATTTTTAGTTGTAGTTAGACACAACACCTTTATTTTTTTATTTTTATGTGGTGCCAAGGATCAAACTCAGAGCTTTGCATGTATTAGGCGAGCGCTCTACCACTGAGCCACAAGCCCACCGCCCCCCGCAAACTAATTTTTATTAAAGGAAATAAGATTTCTGAGATAAAATAATTAATTCACCTGTCCTGCCAATTCCAACCGCTTATTACCATAATAGTCTCTGTCGTCAACTTTGTTATCTCCTTGGGCCAGAATAACTCTTCGTACCATCACTGCAGTATAGATGCATTTGGCTCGAAAATTGAATTCCTTAACCTGTAATTCAGAAATTATAGAAAAATTTAGAGACAATGTAAGCTAAAGCTAAAATTTAAGATGCCTAAAGAATCATTATACCATTCAAATACGAAAGCACTGAGTTGTTATGATTCTCTTGATTCAAAGAAATTCCACTAATCTAGAAAGTTCGCAAGAGGTAGATGGTAACTTTTTTTCTTTGTACTTAGTACCTGGACAACATTTCTTCAAAGATGGCCACTATCAACTCTTTCCCTTCTTGCCTATCTCATGCCACTCCTTCATTTGAGGTGGAGCTTATCATCCCCTTTGGATTGGCAGTGATTAGTCTGATGAACAAAATATAGCAGAAATTATGCCAAGTCAGTTTTGGCCCCAGCTCTTAAATAAAGTTGCAATCTTCACCTCCTTTCCTTTTTCATAGAGTCCTGAGATATCACAAAAGACGTCCAAACAGTATGGTGGGAGGAAAGGCCACATGTAAGTGCCTGAGGAGCTCTGATGAAAATGAGGGGGCCATCTTGGATGTCCAGTGGAGCCTCTGGCTCACTCCAGTCTTAACTGCTATCTATCTGCAACCTCATGAGAGGCCTAAAATGAGAACTCCCTCTCCAATTTTAGGTGAAGCCCTGTAAACCACAGGAACCATTTCTCTAGGACTCTTCCAAGGCACACAGTGAGTGGGAACACTCATCTATCTAGTGGCTGTCATCACTTTTTGGTAGAATACCAATAATTGTGGGATGTTAATATATGGATTATCTCCAGTGCTATAAAAACTTTATAAACCCCCCGGAGCCTGAGCAGTGTGAAGAAGAAGAGGCGAGAACGAACCCCAGACCGAGCAAAGCTGCGTGCCGCTGCATCCCTGCGTCCAGCACCACTGTCGCCCAAGAGAAAGGCTGAAGGGGATGCTAAAGGAGATAAAGCCAAGGTGAAAGATGAACCACAGAGAAGATCTGCAAGGTTGTCTGCCAAACTTGCTCCTCCAAAGCTAGAGCCCAAGCCTAAAAAGGCCCCTGCAAAGAAAGGAGAGAAGGTACCCAAAGGGAAAAAAGGAAAAGCTGATGCTGGCAAGGATGGGAATAACCCTGCAAAAAATGGAGATGCCAAAACAGACCAGGCACAGAAAGCTGAAGATGCTGAAGATGCCAAGTGAAGTGTGCGTTTTTGGTAACTGTGTATTTCTGGTGACTGTACAGTTTGAAATACTATTTTTTATCAAGTTTTATAAAAATGCAGAATTTTGTTTTACTTTTTTTTTTTTTAAGCTATGTTGTTAGCACACAGAGCACTTCATTGTTGTTTTGGGGGGGAAGGAGCATATGTCACTAGTAGAATGTCTCCAAAGCTGGACTGCTGTGGGGGAAAACACCTTTCCCTTCTAGTTTTGAGAGACTTCCTCTTTGTTCCCAAGAGGAAGGGATTCCCTGATGTTGGCACACACAGCCACCTTGGCACAAATGCCTTGTGGTACGGAAAAACTCAAACTCATCTATATGTCCTCCTGTCCCTCTCTGCCATCGGCATAGCCTTAACTCCCCTAAACTCAGACCTGTTGGGACCTGATTCCCAACGATTGGTTTTACTAGTGTGTGGGGCAATCTGGACTTTCCAGTGACATCATTGAGAATAGTGTCCCTCAGAAGAGCAGCAGTTCCTTTTCTAGATTGTGGATCTTCAGATTAATAATTTTTGCCATTTTCCTTTCATTTCCTGAAAGTCAGGGTCAGCTTGTGAAAACTTATTAAACAACATGCTAAATGTGAAATGTCAACCCTCACTCTAAACTTTCCCTATTCAGAGCATCAAATGAAGACTTCATTGGGTTTTATAGTGGCTTTCTGATTTTGGTAGTCCATCCAAGAAGGGAGTTTGAAAGTTGTTGTATACTGTTAATGATTGTCTGCCCATATCTTGCCTGAAATAACATGATTGTTTATGAAAAGTATCTTTAATAAAGCTGGATACAGTTTGAAAAAAAAATATATGGATTATCCAAAAGTGGGAGAGAAAGAATTAACAAAAAATTTGAAATGCTAAAACAGAATTACTGTCAACAGAACTCTTGGAGTTCTAAAACTACCCTTGAAGGAAAGAGGAGTTTTGGAGCCAAACTATCCTATACATAAGAATCACCTGGCAGGGTTGTTGCGGGACATGTTAAAATACACAAACTCCTACCCTGGAGTTTCTGATTCAGTTCAGTAAGTACTGGATAGAGTTACAGTACTTCTAGCAAGTTCCCAGATAATGGTGATGCTACTGGCAAAGGGAATGCTCTTTGAGAAGCTCAACCCTCAAAGAATTTAGAGATCAGGGTATCGAGATGATGTTCCTCTGTAGGCTACCCTCAAGAACATGGGCCAGAACTGCTGGATGTCCTTCCCATCGTTCTCACTCTTAGTGGATACATCTAAACCAGTGCTTTTCCATAATTTAATTGTTCAGGTTCCAGCATTGAGAGTATTGCTTTATCTCTGTAAGAATTATTTACTTAATATTTTTAATCATCTTTAAACAACTCATTTCAAAGTAAGCTTCATTCTTTGTAATAACATATAAAGTAAAAAACCACAAAAAAAGAGATCTGCTCTTTTTTCTTGGCACCAGGAATTGAACTCATGGGCACTTAACCACTGAGCCACATTCCCAGCCCTTTTTGTATTTTATTTAGACAGAGGGTCTCACTGAGTTGCTTATAGCCTTGCTGGGTTGCTGAGGCTGGCCTTGAACTCATGATCCTCCTGCCTCAGCATCCTGAGCTGCTGGGATTACAGGTGTGAACCACTGTGCCCAAGGGGATGTGCTAATTGCATTCAAATATATACATAATTAAATCAAAATGTCCTGTATCACATAAAATCATCTTTTATATCTCACTTAAGTAAATACTATCCTAAACCATCCTGGAAAATGAAGGTCATTTTCCTGGTTCATCTAAAGTGACTATTCTTCAACACATTATGCATAAATAAACTTTCAAAATGGCAATTCAGTTTCAAACCATCTTTCCAATCATCCCAAAGAGCTTAAAATTCAGTTCAGACCCAGCTTTAACATTAAGAATTTTCTAATTCTTTGGATTAGATCAAGGACACTCTGCATCAAAGGGCTGAATCAGGGACCTGTGTTGTATGCTAACAAGGTGTTTTGTGAATGTGCTCCCGTGGCTACTCTCCACTTTCACAGATCTCTTGATCTTCCAGCATTAAAATCAGGCTCTAAAGATAGTCTGCAACCCCTGAATGAGATCATTCATGAAGGTACATATAGTAACTGATTTATAAAAGGCAGCACATGTATTAAATGGGGGAGAGAGTGATTCTTGTCAAAAGGCCACATGTCAATATGGCTAATCTGTTTAATAAGTTAATTAAAAAAATAACTACTATGCACTAGTTCAAGGATCAGAGGTAGCTTCCAGTCCTCTGACCACTAATATGTGGGATGATAAGGCAAATCATCCAGCTTAATCGGCCAGGAGTCGTCTCTTGTCCAAGCAGATACCCTGGTCTCTTGCTTTGGCTGTGAGTGAAGAAGGTTGGACAACATAAATTTTAATATTCAAGGTTTAGGAGATTTATTTGTCAAAAAAGCATTTAAAAACTATCTATTTGGGGGCTGGGGTTGTGGCTCAGTGGTGGACTATTTGCCTGGTACATGCGAGGCACTGGGTTCAATTCCCAGCACCATATATAAATAAGCAAATAAAATAAAGGTCCATCAACAACTAAAAACAAACAAACAAAAACTATCTATTTATCCCACTCCTTAGAATATACCCAATCATCTATTATAGTGATGATCGTACAATTGTGTGAATATATTTCACAGTTAAAACAGTAAACTTCTGTATATTTTGTAATCTTAAATAAAAAATACGTGGGAAAGAACTATAAGCTTGCCTTCCTTTAAAAACAGGTAGGTCAGCAGAGCTGTCCTTTGAAGCCATAAAGAAAATCACTATGATCATATGAATATAAAGTAACAGTAAGACTGAAAGAAGAACAACCAGATGACACACATCATGATGGCAACTGTGTACCTGACATTCTGAACACAACTTCTGGTAATGGGTGGGGTAGGACAGTCCTCTTTAGAGTCGTTCTTCAGAACAGACTTTTAAATAGCAACAACTCCTAGTTACAATTCTTTAGCAGAAATTCACAGATTCCATAATTATCATTATTCACTGCAAAAGTGTTACTCACTGGAACATGGGTCAGGATGGTAGAAGCCAGGAGCTCTCTTGCTTCTTCTATTTTGGTTTTCTTTGGTCCACCTCCCCACATCCTTTGCCTTCTTACTTTATTCCCTATGTATTTTAGGGCCTATAAAAAAACAGATTATAGTGTTTGAATGACATCACTAGAGATCATTTATTAAGCACCTATACACAAATACATTATAAGCAAAAAAATAAGTACCCTAGTTGTAGAGAAAGCTGCAATAGTAACCCAAAATCAACATTTATCATGAATTGTAACTAAACAGCTCAAAACACAATTTACATCAGTTTCCTTTTTATTTTTTACATTGTTTTCTTCTATAAAACATACACATGGGGCTGGGGTTGTGGCTCAGTGGTAGAGTGCTGCCTCACATGCATGAGGCACTGGGTTCAATCCTCAGCACCTCATAAAAATAAAAAATAAATACATAAAATAAACATGTTTTAAAAAACAATCAAACACATGATCATTGCAGGAAATTCAGAAAACACCCAAGAGGAAAAAGAAGTGTGTGTGCGCATGCATGCACGCATAAAGCAGTCATGAATTCTCTATTCAAAGAGAAGCACAAGTAACATTGTTGGATGGTACTTTTTTCCCCTCCAAAAAAATTAAAATCATACCACAAAAGATCCTCTATGCTCAAAGTTTAAGAAAACATTGCTCAGAGATAACAAAACCTAAATAACTTGAGGGTTAAGACATTTTCATGGACTGGATAATTCAATGGTGATAAAATGGTTTACTGTTAAAATCCTTCCAAAGTAACTAATAAATTCATAATTTCTAAATACTCCTGAGAGGGTTTTAGAAAAGCAAAAATAGGTTGACTCTGCAGTTTTAGATTCTATATACATGGAAATGCAAAGAGCCTGGAGTAGTTAAAATAGTACTGGAATAATAAGTTGGAGTATTTCTATTACCTGATTTTAACTATAAGTAATCAGAACAGTGTGATGCTGGCAAAAGGAAGAGAATAAGAAGTCCAGAAATAATCCATGATATAAGCACAACTGATTTTGACAAAAGTGCCAAAGCAATTCAATAAGGAAGGAAAAGTGTTTCCAACAAATGGTGGCGAAATCATGAACTACCCATAAGGTTAAAAAATGAACCCTGATCTTCACCCTAAATGGAAAAATTAGTTTAAAACAGATTTTAACTTCACATAAAAACTAAATCTATAAGCCCTCTAAAAGAAAACAGAATATATTCCTGATCTTGTGAAAGGCAAATAATTTTTTAAACATAGTACAGAAGAAGTAACTATAAATGACAACTAAAAACCTTCCTGATAATTTGACATTTTTCAAAATTAAATAACACAGTGAGAAAAATGAAAAATTGCAATACCTAAATCTGGTAAGGGATTTATATCCAGATTTTTTTTTAAAATACTCTAAAATTCATGAACAAAAAGACAAATAGATAAGGAAAATGAACAAATGGTTTGAACACTTCACAAAGAAGAAACACCAGTGATCAATACACAAAAAAGTGTTCATCATCAGTCCTCATCAGGGAGATGAAAATTAAAACCACAATGAACCTGGCATAGAAACACAAACTTGCAATCCCTACTCCCTGGGAGGCTGAGGCAGGAGGATGGCAAGTTTGAGGTCAACCTCAGCAAATTAGGGAGACCATGTCTCAAAATAAAAAATAAAAAGGGCTGAGGATGTAGCTCAGTGGTAAAACACCCCTGGGTTCAATATCTAGCATGGGGGTGGGGGGGTGAGTCACACAATGAGATACCCCAACACATCACTAAGATGGCTAAAATCAACAACTGACAACACCAAATACTGGCAAGAAGCAGCAACTGAAACTCTCCTACATGCTGGTGGGAACGCAAAGTGGCAGAATCATTCTGGAAGGTTTGGCAGTTCCAGCTTAATGAAAGTTATATATACATCTGCCCTGT